CATGCAGTATCTCTGTTATCATGTGGCTTTTTTTCTTTGAGAATTGCTTATACAGTCTAAATAGCACTAGAGGCAAGCGCTGCACCTAAACTCGATTGTATGACTAACTGTCACATGTTGGTATTTTTTGCATATTCAGGAGAAAATGAAACTGATGATCCCTCGGGCCCAAATGTCACTGATTCTGTCAACAAGGATGATTCAGAGATCGCAAAAAGGTTGAAACTTAGAAATCATAATGATTCTTCCGCTTACTCTAAATTTAAGATTGTAAATTGTTCAATTGATGACAACTTGAATTTCAGATAATTTTTTAAGCTCTTGCATGTAGCAATCCTTGAGGTTCTCTAAATATGTTTTGTCTCATAATGGTCAGTGGCGAGGCAGTGATTCATACTGACAGTGCTGTCGCTGCGGAAAATGTAAGTGAAATTTATAGTGTAGTTGTGTTAAACATGTTTGTTATACTTCGTGAGTAGTGACCAGCATTTGCTGGGCTGGGATGCTTCTGCCACTTTAACAATATCTGCCAACATCATCCAGAAGCATGAGCTTGTTCCTAGTGAAAGCAATCAGATACTTGTAGGGATTGTGCTTTTTTTTTTATTTGAACTATTAATATAAGAGCCACCTGTAACTTAGCTCTTACTGTTTGATTCGATGTTCCAGGATCAGACAGAAAAGACAGACATTGAAGGTGCTCAACATTGTTCTACTTTATTTATTGCAAATCTAGGTCCGAGTTGCACTGAAGATGAACTGAAGCAAGTTCTTTCCCAGTAAGTTACCCCAGAAAGTCCCAATTCAGAACTTTTCTTTTGTTGATATTTCCTTTTTTTCTCTGGATATTTTTTTTTCTCTCTGTAAATATTGCTGTCTCTGGTCTGTTCTGATAACTTGTATTACTTGTGCCAGATACCCTGGATTTAATGCACTCAAGGTGCGTGCTAGAAGTGGAATGCCGGTAGCATTTGCTGACTTTGAGGTATCACATGCCACCACTGAAGTAATCGAATGTAGACCTTAATTTTGTCAATGTTGTATGACCACCAGTATCTTATCTTCTGTAATGGGAAATATTTGAAATTAGGGTGTCAATATGCCCAATTAGGTGATTAAAACTACTATATGCATGGAAATATGTGATTATTCGCGCGTCTTGATTTCTGGACGCAATTGAATCTTTGAGTTTCAAATTATTGAGCTTAGGACCAAATCCTTCCTCATATCCGGTCAAGCAAAAGGTTTCCCAGTTGAAGTGGAAGTTCTGACTTGGAATTTGTCAGTGTCTTGACGTCAAACTGTTGGATGGTAACCTGAGAATGATGCCCTATCATAAGATAGGAATTGTACAATGATTATAAGGTTTTAACTGCTTGTTTCCTTTTTGGCAGGAGGTTGAACAGGCAAACGAGGCCAAGAATGCACTTCAGGGAAGCTCGTTGCCATCATCAGACCGGGGTGGCATGCACATAGAGTATCCTCTCTCAATACTTTCTGTTCTGCTGCTTTAGAGTTTACTTGATATTATACGGTGCAGCCAAGTGATATTCATATTCTCTGCTGGTGCTCTTCAGGTATGCAAGGTCTAAAATGAGGAAACCCTAGAAGAAATCTGGGGCAAAGTGGCAGGACCGAAGACCTTTCGGCAATTCCTTATTTCAACTGAATCCATCNACATGCAGTATCTCTGTTATCATGTGGCTTTTTTTCTTTGAGAATTGCTTATACAGTCTAAATAGCACTAGAGGCAAGCGCTGCACCTAAACTCGATTGTATGACTAACTGTCACATGTTGGTATTTTTTGCATATTCAGGAGAAAATGAAACTGATGATCCCTCGGGCCTAAATGTCACTGATTCTGTCAACAAGGATGATTCAGAGATCGCAAAAAGGTTGAAACTTAGAAATCATAATGATTCTTCCGCTTACTCTAAATTTAAGATTGTAAATTGTTCAATTGATGACAACTTGAATTTCAGATAATTTTTTAAGCTCTTGCATGTAGCAATCCTTGAGGTTCTCTAAATATGTTTTGTCTCATAATGGTCAGTGGCGAGGCAGTGATTCATACTGACAGTGCTGTCGCTGCGGAAAATGTAAGTGAAATTTATAGTGTAGTTGTGTTAAACATGTTTGTTATACTTCGTGAGTAGTGACCAGCATTTGCTGGGCTGGGATGCTTCTGCCACTTTAACAATATCTGCCAACATCATCCAGAAGCATGAGCTTGTTCCTAGTGAAAGCAATCAGATACTTGTAGGGATTGTGCTTTTTTTTTTATTTGAACTATTAATATAAGAGCCACCTGTAACTTAGCTCTTACTGTTTGATTCGATGTTCCAGGATCAGACAGAAAAGACAGACATTGAAGGTGCTCAACATTGTTCTACTTTATTTATTGCAAATCTAGGTCCGAGTTGCACTGAAGATGAACTGAAGCAAGTTCTTTCCCAGTAAGTTACCCCAGAAAGTCCCAATTCAGAACTTTTCTTTTGTTGATANTCCGAGTTGCACTGAAGATGAACTGAAGCAAGTTCTTTCCCAGTAAGTTACCCCAGAAAGTCCCAATTCAGAACTTTTCTTTTGTTGATATTTCCTTTTTTTCTCTGGATATTTTTTTTTCTCTCTGTAAATATTGCTGTCTCTGGTCTGTTCTGATAACTTGTATTACTTGTGCCAGATACCCTGGATTTAATGCACTCAAGGTGCGTGCTAGAAGTGGAATGCCGGTAGCATTTGCTGACTTTGAGGTATCACATGCCACCACTGAAGTAATCGAATGTAGACCTTAATTTTGTCAATGTTGTATGACCACCAGTATCTTATCTTCTGTAATGGGAAATATTTGAAATTAGGGTGTCAATATGCCCAATTAGGTGATTAAAACTACTATATGCATGGAAATATGTGATTATACGCGCGTCTTGATTTCTGGATGCAATTGAATCTTTGAGTTTCAAATTATTGAGCTTAGGACCAAATCCTTCCTCATATCCGGTCAAGCAAAAGGTTTCCCAGTTGAAGTGGAAGTTCTGACTTGGAATTTGTCAGTGTCTTGACGTCAAACTGTTGGATGGTAACCTGAGAATGATGCCCTATCATAAGATAGGAATTGTACAATGATTATAAGGTTTTAACTGCTTGTTTCCTTTTTGGCAGGAGGTTGAACAGGCAAACGAGGCCAAGAATGCACTTCAGGGAAGCTCGTTGCCATCATCAGACCGGGGTGGCATGCACATAGAGTATCCTCTCTCAATACTTTCTGTTCTGCTGCTTTAG